AGGGTTTCAGGGTTTAGGGTTTAGAGGTTGCGAAGGCTGGGTGTTGAAAGGTTCCAGGACGCAGGCCATGGGCTTGAAATACGTAGCGATGCAGGCAGGGTATCCCATCAAGATGATCTACACCCTCTAAATCCTAAAACCTTCCAAACCCTGTAAGCCACATAAACCCGAAAGCTCTGAACCCTAAATTTCAACTAAACCCTAAACCCTAAACCCTAAACCCTAAACCAGAGCCTCTAAGTTAGATCAGCCGGGCGATTCAGTAGCCGAGCCTTGTGGCATGGCATGTCCAGAGAGTCCAATATCCCTTAATTAAGGAATATAGCTTAAATCGTAATATGAAGCCCCTTAGGGTTTAGGGTTTAGGGTTTAGGGCTTCTAATTTAAGGTATATTCCTTCATTAAGGGGTATTGGGCTCTCTGGGTGTCAGTACGCTGTTCATGCTTTGGCAACTTGGGGAGTTTTGGCGCTACTTAAAGGGATCTATAAGGGTTTATAGGGTTCCCTTAAAGGGATCCATAAGGGTTTAGGGTTTAGGGGTTATTTAAGGGATCATGGGACTTAGTAAGTAGGGTTATGATTAGGGTAACTATACTTATAACCCCCAATTAGGGGACTTATAACCCTACTTACTAAGTCCCATGATCCTTTAAGTATGGCTTGGGGCTTGGAGTGTTGGCTTCAGGTTTTGTGAAGTTTTACGGCTACAGGGTTCCGACCAGGCCAGACAGAATTGGATCTGCAAGCCTCGCTTGGTTGCGACTTGCTTGAAACACGAAGCAGTTTGGGTGTGTGGTCCACGTCGCAAGATATAAGGGTAGTTCTCTGAATTAGGATCCCTTTTTAGCTCCCCAACATAGTACGGCACCCTAATAAAAATGACCCTAAACGGGACCCTAATTTTTGAAAACTACCCATGTAGTTCCCTTGTCCCAATAAGCCAATGAAGGGTCAAACCTGAGCCCCGAAACATGACTCGAACATTGATGCTGCAGGTCTTAACAAGCTACACCTTACATGCCTCGATCGCACTCAGGGCTTAGGGTTTAAGTGGGGGTTTCCGAAAATAGGGGACCCTAACATAATACCTTAAATAGTAGGATCCTTATTTTAAGGACCCCCCAAAACAAGGTACCCCCCTTATTTTCGGAAACTCCCAAGTATCACTGTCGCAGAACAGGGTTTGTTCATGTCGTTAGGCTCTTCTAGAAGGCTAGATGCCTAGAGGCTTCATCTTCTTTCAGCTACTTGGCAAGAAAGCATAGACACTGGTCGATACACACGTGACCTTTCCAACGAAATTTTGGCAGCATCAAAATCCATACTCGCTTGCTCCCCGGATGTTTGAGCGAGCATTCCAATTGAGCTCTTGGTGTTTACAGATTTGTTAAGGGCTTCCCAGACGGCAGTTCGATAAGTTGATATCCCTGAAAACCAGCGAGAACGTAGGTCACCAACCGAAAGCAATACCACAGCTCTGAAAATACCCCGGGCAACACCTGCAAGAGCACAGAAAAGGGTCCATGTACCCCTAGGGTCCTTGTACTCACATACTATGTACGTTGGCTTAATGTAGTCCTTTTTCATGTAACCCTAAACCCTAAACCCTAAACCCTAAACCCTAAGTACTTCAAGGCCCAAGTATATGCTATCTGGACACACGAACCCTTAGGGTACTGAAACAGCACCTGCAGGCCTGAAGTGGAGGTCCAAAGTGTAAATGTTCGGTTTAGGGTTTAGGGTTTAGGGTTTAGGGTTTAGGGTTTAGGGTTCATGTATACAGACCCTTTGAGACACTTCAGGAAAGGCAGGGTGTAGATTGGTTTCTTCATGGTGACTGTCATGTCGAACATGTTGGTTGCAGTACCGACAGAAGTACTGACGTAGGTCAGCGCAGTGGCAGCAGTAGTACAACTTCAAACGGATGGCATCAAACATACAGAACACACCCAACGCCAAAGGGGTTCCGAAAGAGCATAGTTGAACATGACGATGCTGAATCTCGTCATCATTATCACACTAGCAAGCGAATTGCTAAGCAGCAGTGCTGGGCATGGCACTTGCGTTCCGGCAGTGGGCGATACAGCTTGAGACTAGCATAACCAAGCCGAGTGACCTTTGTTTAGTAATGTTGGGCTACTGGGTTATGGGCATTATAGAGTTTACACATGGTTGCATAAGGTTAAAAGATCAGTACTCACGAGTACTATCGAGCTTCGAACCGCCAATCGGATGCCCGAACAAGCCACATTCCCTAGGGCTCCAGTTGCATGAACACGAGATTACTAACCATTTCTTATTTACCCTAGTAACCTACTGTTTAGGTATATAGCTGGAGAGTAGCCACAAGGGACTACTTTGAAGCCAAAGTATATACTATTTAGGTAGTTGGATCCTTAAACCCTTAACCCATAGAGCCATGTTGAGCCCTTGAATTTAGAAGCCGTATGGTACCCCTTAAAGGAAGCCTTAACATGGCCCCTTAGGAATTGTCTGCCAAGGCTACGAAGGAAGTGCGCCACAGTACAACCTGAACTGGGAAGCGAATGCAAGCAACTTCTTCAAGGATCGGGCTTTAAGGTTTAGGGTTTCAGGGTTTAGGGTTTAGGGTTTTAGGGTTTAGGGTTTAGAGTCTGGGAGCCGAGTTCTGGTAGGCGGACAAAATGGAGACCATCCTAACGTAGCCCTAAGACCTAAGTTCGGTGTTGTGGCTCCTGGGGTGGAGCCTGTTCTGTTTTGGGGCTGGGGGATGTTTAGGGTTTTGGGTTTTGGGGAATAGGGGTTTCGGATTGCCTCGTGTTTTAAAGTAATTCAGGTTGCAGACGTCCGAATTCGAGAGGTCCTGCGGCATTTTCTTTAGCCCTTCCGTAACCCTAAGGGTCCATGTGCCCAAATAGTATATACTTTGGCCCCAAAGTACCTATATAGGGACTACATTAAGGCCAAAGTATATGCTAATTGCGTACATGGACCCTTAGGGTAATGTAGGAGGTGCAGCCATGCCTCGCTTGCGTTCGTCGAACTGCGGCCGGAAGTGGTCGTCCCTGCGACGCCTTGGTCTAATCGGTCTGAGAAGAGAGCGTCCATGGCCCAAACATGATGACGTCCATGGTCTCAGTCGTTCTGAGAAGAGAGCATCCGTGGCCCCAGCATAATGCGTCCATGGTCAATCCGTCCTGATAGGAGAGCATCAATGCTTGGTCTAATCCTTTCTGAGAATGCGTGGCCCAACCATGATGACATGCATGGTCATAATCCGTTCTGAGAAGTTCCTGCTCATGCTGCCGCACGTTCCGGTAACTCCTCCACCCTCGATCCTACTTGCCGTTCCCTCGAGGCCTGACGTATTTTTCTAAATTTTTCTAAACCATGTGAGCTAAACAACTGCGCAGAGCTAATTCCGAAACGCGTTTCGTGCAAGAGGATTTCAACTTGGTACTGATTTTTATAAAACAAAACGGGACCTGGGAAATGACTGGTTTCCATATCTCCTAAACACGGAAACCACCGCAAATATCGGTATAAACCTTACTCCCCACATCTTCAACGACAGACGTTGTGCTGCAAGACGAGGGGACTGAACGTTTAGGGGTTGAGGGTACCCTAAACCCTAAACCCTAAACCCTAAACCCTAAACCCTAATGTTAGGGTTTGGCATTGACGACCTCCAGGGTTTCGGCGTCTGGTTTCAATGGCATTGGGTTTCAGGGCATCCATGAGGTCCAATGATTTCTAGGTCACTCAGGCTTGTAGAGTCCAGCGTTGAGCTCTGGATTCTTTAGAGTGTTTCTCTGGGGTTTGGGTTTCTAGACCATTCCGCGGCTTTGTGTTCCGAGTGATCGGGCCGCAGAGTTTCGGGCAAAAGCTCGAAAGGACTGGACCTTCGTGACGCATGATCCGTCTTGGGGTGTGACTTGCTTGCACTCAAAAGTATGGCACCAACATGATTTCGTGAAGGGACCCTAAGCCCTACCTATAGTCTCCATTGCAGTTCCTTTTTTTGTTTAACCAAATATATACTAACGAGTTTATAAGGTATCCCCAAAAAGGAACTACAATGGAGACTATAAATAAACCTTAAACCCCAAGACTAAACCCTAAACCTTAAATCCCAAGACATAAGTCCCGAGTTCTTAACCCTAAATCCCCGACCTTCATACAGAATCCAAACCCTCGACCCCAAACCCTCGACCCTAAACCCTAGACCCCTAAGCCTTAAACCTCAAAGGTCCCGAGTTCTTAACCCTAAATCTTCTACCTTCATACAGAATCCCACAGGGTACCCATTCGAAACTGCTCTCCTCCGGACTTCTACTTCTGTTTAGGGTTTAGGCTACCAGTCCTGCATCTCACCCCAACAGAAAAATAATTTTGAGCCGGTTTAGGGTTTAGGGTTTGGGGTTTAGGGTTTAGGGTTCAGGGTATGACATACCTTAAACTCCCATATAGCCTGATTTGATCCTGTTCCCGTAGGTTCTTATCAAGTATGAGCCCTAATAGACTTCGATTTTAAAGGGACCCCACCAAAGAGATAAAAGTAGGGGGTAGGATAAGGTAGTGCTTTGTTAAGCGGCACTGGGCTCTCGAAGTGTTTGTCCCGAGTCTGTGCGCCCGAAAAAACACTACGCCCCTAAACCCAAACATGGAATCATTATAGGAACTTCTAGTAACCCTTATTGTCGTGTTGGTCTGCTATGCTTGGAGATCTCAACACTCAATTCTCCCACCCGGTCGTGGACTGAGTTGGCGACCTGGTTTGGGAGTCTCATGGAAGTGTTCCTCAGGGCCTTTCAAAGCTCACAATGCAACCGGATTGGTGGTTTCCAAGTACATTTTGTCCTCGCCACACAGGCCCCAGCGAGACCTGGATTGTGCCAAATGGCCTCTCAGGCTCCCGGATAGATTTCATTGCCATTCCCACTCACTGGACTGCAGGCCCAGACGCCTCACAGGTCCATCACGACCTGGATTGGGCCCTAAACCCTAAACTATAAGCCCT